GGGGCTCAGCGTAGAAGATCCACACCCACGCGCGTGCGTTTCAGTAATTTTATCCATTTTAAAAATGTTTCTGGAAATATCCGCATCGATTTAAAAATTAGTAAAAATTAAAAAAAAAAATTAAAAATAAATAGCTCTTAAAGGAAAAAATAAACTAAAATTTTGTTAAAAAATAAGTAAAATATAAAAATACTATGAGAAAAACTACAATATTAATCAAAAAAAGAAGAAAAGATAATGGAGGAGAATTATTTCTTTTTATATTAATTGTTATGTCAAAGTTTATTATAATATTTATTTACATATTCACATGTTATTATGAGTTAAATCTGAAAATAAAATTATAAATTAAAACATTATGATATTATGAACAAATATAAAAGTAAGTTCTAAAGTAAAATGTTATGAAACAGAAAAAGATTTTTACATGTAGAATTTATAAGTTAAAAATAAATGTATTTTTATTATGAGTTACATAATTATCAATTGCACTCTAATGAGCTATTAAACTTCCACCTCACATATCAATCCCAAATGATTTCCTAATAGTTTATATAGTTGAATTAAATTTTCATATGTAAAGGTTCGGAACTTAAAAGAAAATAAAAATATGTATTGAATGCAAAAGCAGAATAATAGAGTTAGTATTTGCATTTCTTATACAATAGTTTAAAATACTCAATAGGGGTACAGAAATGTTACTTCTAAAAGAATAAATAAAAATCAAAAAAATAAATGAAAAGTAAACAACTAAGCATCTTAGGACGACCATAACTAGCTTTTGAAGGAGTTCGAGTGGTGAACTGTTCACAACTCTCTTATTGATCGGAATATGGGTCTTGGTTCTCTTGATCTGAAATAGTTAATGAAAAGTGAGGTACACTAATTCAATAAGAATATCACACTACTCACCGATACAGAAACTGAAGGTTGGTAAAAATCATAAAAACAACCAATGGAGCTCTTGATTTAAGTAAATTTATTTATCATAAAGAAAATCATTTATTGCATATATTTATCGTTACGAGATTTTCAAAATCGACCTATAGAGACAATAACCCAAGTAATATTCCAATTTTATATTCAAGTGTGCAAGAACATTAACTTTTCCTCTTTATTTGTCTACTGGTATCCTTAGGGGCTTATAGGGATATCTCATTACGCGTGAACCATTATTTAACATTGTCAACTAACCAACCATCCTCATACCCCGTCCGGTATGAGTGCCAAGAATACCATCCTTCAATACCCCATCGGGTATGAGTGTGAAACGGATCGTCCCCGTAACCCGTCCGGTATGAGCGTCAAAAATACCAATCATCGATATCCCGTCCGGTATGAAGCGACATTCACGGTAGGGTTCTCTATGTACCCGGTCCGTCCACCATCTTCTATGTTATCCAATAATGCTACCATTCATACATTCACTTAACCAATCAATTTTTCGTTTACATTTAATTTTCAGTTTCACAATTTAACCGTAAATCGAAGTAAGGCAAACAATACATGTATCAAGAAAATACAACTGAATCATTTTACCAATCTCAGTATATTATTATGCATTTAAAACTGTAAAATCAAACAATCGGTTAAATATAACAAACAATAATAAATAACTAGTTCTGACTCCATTAGTAACCTGTAATTAATTCTCGAAATTTTTTTAAATTACGTAAAATACATATTATTGATAATTAAACTTCAATTCGATAACAGAAAATAAGGTGAGGGATTCTTACTCGAATCATTGTCTGAAATACCGAACTTTCTACTGCACCTACTGGCGGTTCCCGGGTTTTCTGAATTTTTCTACGGAGATTAAAACACGCTTCACATACCTAAATATCCAAAAATCAATGTTAAAAATTTTTTCTAGCCAATTTCAGAATTCCAACACGGCGGCACCGTTGTGCTCTGGCAATGGCATCGCCTCCTATGGTGACGGTTTGCCTCGACTTGGTAGTTTTGGCCAGTTTTGGTCCGTTTCGACGTTTTTTATACTCATTTCTGCGAGAAAACACGTTAAAAGGTCTCGGTTTGCCAAAAAAGTCAAAAAATAAAAACTTATCGGCAGGGGAATTTTTCGATGCGGTGGCTCCGCTGGCTCAACTTCACAGCTGGAAATTTTTCTTCGCTCAACCTGTAGAAAATAGAACGGTGAACATAATGGTGAAAAAATTGCATGAAACGGAAAACAGAAATGAGTCATCGGAGGCGGTTTCGGATTTTTCCTACAGCACTGCTGTCATGCTTTACCCGCAGTTTTCGGCTCATCCGCCATTCTTTTTGCTTTGATTTGGTCATGGAGGTGTTCAAAATCAAATTCCGAGCGAATAGGAGAATTTTTATCTTTTTTGGCGGTTGAAGGTGGCTCCGGCGTGATGACGGACGACGGTCGACTCCCTTCTCTAGTGACTGGTTCTTCTTCTCCAGCAGGAGGCTGGTGGCTAGGGTTTGGATTCAGTATTATGCGAGATATTTATACCCGTCTCTCTTAAATCTGAACCGTTCATTGTCCTTGATCTCAACCCCCGATCGCATTTAAAGATGAAATAAATCTAGACCGTTCATCGCAATTTGATCTCGACTGTATAATTGCATTTAAAGAGGGAACGAATCTGAACCATTCATTGCGTTTAATCATGACCGTTCGATTGTGCCTAAAGAGGGAACGGATCAGGACCGTCCACGCGCGTGGGAATGCATCCGGACCGTCCGATCGCAAGTATGCAGATTGTCAGCGTTGGCTCTCACGTGGCACTAAGTCAACGTGATGCAAATAAGGCTAAAAACATTCAAGATATTCAAATAGCATCAAAAGGTGACTTGGAGCAAATTTCAAATGACGTTAACACAAATAGAGTTCCAAACCTAGAAAGTTTCAGCGAACCAGTAATAAGATCAACGGCAAAAAAGTTTAAAGAGTTGCTCCAAGTTTTCACTCAAAAACATGTGGATGATGGGCTGGCCAATTGTGAAAAGTTCAAATATGAGCTCTTTGAACAGCTCAAATTCATAACTTTAATTGAGTTTAAATGATTTGGGATAATTTGGGTTTGTTTGAGTCTTATTAGTAATGGGTGAATAAGTCTTGTGTATGAGCTATATTAATTGAGTTGTTTTAAGTATTTTGGATTGTTTTATTTTAGTTTGAGTTAATTAAGCTCATATAATCAAGTATAACTCATTTGGGCTTAAATCTTATCTTAGTGTTATTACAAGAATGAGCCTATAACTATATGGTGTCACAAACAATTAGTGGTGTTGGTTAACAAAATTGGAGTTACAAGGAATTACATAACAATTACATGCCTATAATTAGCCTAGTTATTGTTGGAGTTACAATTGTAATTACCACATAATTAGCCTACTTATTGTGGGAGTTATAATTGTAGTTATTGTGTTGTAACTTATCATTGATTTCTTTGCCTATAAATACCAAAGGAACTCTTCTTTGTGGACATCAAGGGTTGTAATCAAATATTTCATAATTGAGTTAAGGAGTGTTTTGGCTTTCTTTTTACTTTATGCACAAGGTGTTGATTTAGAATACAATTGTTATCACTTGTATTTCAATTTTAATTTCCTATTTCAATTGTTTTTGGTGTTTGTTTGGATTGGGTTCAAGGAATATCATTTATCTTTCTTAGGTTCTATTTAACTTCTACCATTTGGGTGATTGAACAAATTTGATTACTTTTTATTTGTGATCTAAATTATGTTCTATACTGATTGAAAAGTTTTAAGGTTCAAGCAAGGGTCTTGGGATTCTGCATCACAGCGTGTCTTGCCACACGGCATTCTCTGGTTCGTCGAGACTGCTGACTGGGCGGTCCTATGTGGTGCAATTTTCTTTAATTGTATTTTGGCCCCCCCAATTTCTGATTTTTCTTTCAAAAATATTATCTGAACCCAAAGTTTCACCATTTTTTCTCAAAATTATTTTCAATTTCATCCTCAATCTATTTTTTTTTCTTAATTTCACATTAAATAAAAATTCATAAATTTTAAAATTATATTTTTATATATTTTTTAATTTTTGAAATTAATCACATGCCAATTTTCAGGTTCGGGTATTACATCATATTCACACTTAGTCTTACTAGGCAAGTTGGATTTTTTTTTGTGCATTCACTAAAATAATCTCATAACTATAGGAAAACAAAATTGATTTACTAAGTATCTTCTCTATTTTTATTTGTATAAATGTCATTACAAATTTATTAGTTGAAATATCTTGTTTATAACTAACATTTTAAACAAATGCAAAATTATTAGAAATATACATATAACCACAATATGATCAAATGCATCAAAAACATGTTTTAGATGATCTCACATCCATAAAAAAGATTACTAAGTAGTGATTACATGTTGTACTATCTTAAAATATTCTATTAACCTCAACTTAAAATAGATAAGGACATTATATTCAATTATGCCTTATTTGCAAAAAGGTCAAAGGACAAGCTTAAAATGCCAATCTTTATATGCCTCTACTTGTTTATAATATAATACGACAAGATTTGGTTATGGATTTTGTTCTTGGCTCACTACAGACTTAACAAGGTGTTAATTTGATGTTTATTATCGTTAATCATTTTTCTAAAATTGTTCACTTATTTCCTTGTTATAAAATTTTATATGCTTCTTATGTGACTTACTTGTTCTTTAAAGAAATTATTTTTGTATATGGTGTTTTCTATTCTATTATTTTTAACCAAGATGTAAAATTTTCAAGTCATTTATGGAAGAATTTGCAGAGATTACTTGATATTTCCTGAAAATACGACAATACTAGTCATCCATAAACTAATGAATAAATTGAAGTAGCTAATCGTATCATTGGTAATATGATTCAATTAAGTGTTGGAGATAAGTTATAGCAATGGGATGTTGGTCTTCCATAGATCAATTTTGTCTTGATAAAAATGCCCCAATTATTTTATCAAAAAAGTTGTTTTTAAAGTTGTCTACAATTGTGCTCTAAAACATACAATTGATTTGATTCGACTTCCTCTCTTTGTCGGTGTTAATCCTAGTGCAATAAAATTTGCAGAGCGTGTACAATAGATTCACCAAGAAGTTAGGCAAAATTTAAAAGATACAAATTTACATTATAAAGTTTTCAAAAAAGTGATTAGACGATGGTTCATCTCCTCAAACATTACTTTCCAATAGGTTCTTACAATAAGTTGGAGAAGAATTTTTTTTTTCCTTTTTAGGACTCTTCAGAAGATTAGTGATATGCTTATAAGATTGATCTTTTTGTTGATATGAATATCTCAAGTACCTTTAATGTTGTTGATATTTTTTATTACTATTCTGTTAGTGAGTTTTTTTTACAAACCGTGAAATTTAGGAACAAGTTTTCTTCAAAACGAGGGAACTGATGCAACACACTTTCATAGTTTAAGTGTTATTCCTAATTTAATTCTAAGTGTTATTATCTTATTATTTTTGGTCTTTTGTGGTTTAAGTCTAAGATTTATTTTAATTTTCTAGTTTCGTTAACATTTCCTATTTCTAATCAAATTCTTAGTTTTTTAGGATTTTCTATTTCTAGTCGGGTTCTTATTATAACATTATAAAAAAATTTATTTGTAACAGTTTTATAAAGAAATTAATACAACTCAATATTATTTACTATGGTTTTAGCTTCTATTGTGAGTAATTTCTGTACTCTATATTTAATCTTTTCAAACAAAACTTCTGTCTCACCATTTAGTCACACCACTTGCAGGTATATCATCTTTCTCAAGCCTATTACTTGAGATTTCCCAACTTTTTTCAAAGTCTCGCAACACTTGCAATTTCTTGTTCTTAGTACGTAGCTCACCAACCATTTATATATCCTCTACATAAGAAGTCACAAAAGTTTCCAAACATTTCTTATACCGCTAGTTGTTCTTGATACGTAGCTCACTAATTTACTAGTTATTTTTTTTGTGTTAACTTACTAATCACTTGTGTTTTCTCAATACAAAAGCTCCCAAAAGCTTGCTCAAACATTTCTTATAACTTCTTAGAAGATATAAATGAAAATTTTATAGTTTTTTTTATTAAATAATAGATTTATAAGTTAAAATTTCACTTACAACTCAATTGAGACTCAAGAGGAGGAAAAAAAGAATACATAAAAACAAGAATAACATTTTTTTCTTCTAGTTATTAAAACTGAGGCTTCAACAAGAGAACATCATTACGAACAGTATATTAAAAATCTAGTTATCTAAATTATTTGTGTTTTTACGTTGCGTTTGATTTAAGTATGTTATATTTTCATCTAGATTTTAGATATTAATTATTTAATATCTTACAAAAGTAATAATAACTTAAGTATGTGATGCATAATTAAATTAATCCTATAGTTTTCATTCAATTAATGTTTGGTTTTGATTTCTCAAGTGACTAGTTTTATCTTTAACTTTTTAACTTTAATATATATGTCACATTGGTGCTAAGAAATAGGTTTTGGAACTTTTCTCTTGTGTAAGTTTACTGATCTTCACATATTTATATACATCTTTTGTCATAGAGTTCACATTAAGTGAATATCAAATTATTAAGTATAAGTCAAATAAAATATGATAATATATTTTTTTTATAAAGCTATCATAATTTAATTAAATTTGGGGTTTTATGTGAATATTTTTTGAGTAGTTATAATTTTGATCAACTTTGTCACGACATTTCAAAATACCATTATAGGTTGTTGTATGCGTATAGACTCCTTCTTACAATATCACCTCTATGTTACAACATTAAAAATGGTATTAAACTCTATCTCTTACTATTTATTTTATGAGGTTTAAGATCTTTTAATTTTTTTGGGGGTACTTTTTTTTTTTCTTTTAGTCTTTTGCAGGTATTGATAAACTAATCAACACAATAGTTTTCGATTGATTTATTCCATTTAAATTAAATTTGATTGGTGTATAAATTTAACTTATACCATATGCTAAATAATATAATTTATGAGGTTTTAGGTAGAACAAGTGGGTATTTCACTTATACTTCTATAAATTAATGGACGAAAATCTAAGCTATAATTATAAAGAAAATTTATCTTAGAATGCACAAATAGAATAAATATCGTCTTACTTTCAATGCTAAAATTTAGGTTAAGATTTATAATTTTTTAGTGCAAAATATATACATTCATACTCTATAAAATTTGATTATTGAGTATTGATAAACCGATTTAAGAAATGCAGCCATTGCTTAGATGCCGAATGCCAGTACTGGTGTATAAATTAAGGTGAACCGATTTACCATAATAATAAATAGAGCCACTTCTTTCTTGCTTGATAAGGGTCCTTCCATTCACCAGCAAAGACTAAAAGTGCTCTCCGAACCCAACCCGTGGTGGATCCCGGGGGACAAAGTCAAAGCACTTGATGCTTTGCCCCATACTTTGATCAAGCAGCGATGCTGCTCGTGATAGGCTTAGCTTTAAGCTGCTATCGTTCGGTTCGGACAAGTCAAGTCCCTTTCGGTCGGGTGGTCTTCCCTTAGAGGGAGCACGAAATAGTATACATAGTTGCCATGCATTTTCTCTGCAGCGTTTTTTTTTTCTTTTTTATTTTTCTTAGATACATATCATGTATAAAGTTTGGGAGCAGTAAAAGTTTATCATAATTTTCCGTAGATGTTAAAAAAAAATAGGATATAAGCCATTATGATATCTTTATTGGCATGCAATATTTTATTTTCAGTTCATATTATCTAACTTCATAAAATTATACATATCTCATATAAATTATTCTAAATATTAAAAACCATTTTAAAACTTATTGCAATATTTAGTTTTAAAGAATAAAAATTATTCAACTACATTCAAATCTAAAGAACTAACAAAATGATTGACACAATGATTTTTCAAAATAAAATTAGTGTTTACAGGTAAATCTGTAATATTGATTCTGAATTGGGTCCTAATCTCTCTCCTCTACTCATATTTGTATAATTTAACAAAATTCTAATTATAAAATAATTTCAATCTACCTAAAACAATAATACAATAAATTTTATATCATGATACCAAAATATCATATCTTTTTAAAACAATAATACAATAAATTTTATATCATGATACCAAAATATCATATCTTTTTTTTTTTTCTATGTAAAATTTCAATCTACATAAAACATTAATATATCAATACTAAAAATATTTTTGACTATAACAGAGAATTAAATATCTATGAATCTTAAATATTTTTTAAGTACTAACTTAATCCTTAAGTGAACATTCTAATTCCACTCGATAAATTTAAGATGCCAAATTTTGAAAAACAAAAAAGAAAATCACTTTGAAAAATAAGTTTAAATTTTTCAACGAAACCTGAACAAAGTTCATTTTGTTCATAACACAGCCAAAGATATTTAAAAAACAAGCATTAAGACACAATTCTGCAAACTACTAGCCTGTGTTTCTAATGTCAAAATCCTAAAACAGCAAAGACCATGTTTAGAGCACAAAAACATCTAAAGATACTAACAGCCAATTGGAGAGCAGAAAGGTTTCAAAGTTACTTAACTCCTACCACCGACATGAGAAAACGAAGCTTGTCATTGACTTCCACAAGATCAGATGTATCCATGAAAGAGGCAGGAAGCTCCACTCCTGTAAAGATGTAAAGAGCCTTCAGCTCCTCAATAAAACTTGTGCTTCTTGCACCTTTATATCCTACTATTACTCTCATTGCGTCCATCCGCTCCCATATCTTTTCTTCATCGAGCTGAACCTACAACCAAAAACAATTTTTTTTTGTTTACTCACAATTTCTGAATCATAAATGCAATGCATACATTCGGTGACATATTTTTATAATGCCATCAAAGCAACCATTAACTGCTCTTCATGTAGTATTTAGTTAAGTTTTTTACTCGTTTTAAAGCTCCAAAAGTTAAAAATAATAATCTAAAATTATTAAATATGACTCTTAGGATGCATTGTAACTCTTAGTCGTTTTAAAACTCCAAAAGTTAAAAATAATAATATAAAATTATTAAATATGACTCTTACAACACATTGTGACTCTTAGTCGTTTTAAAGCTCCAAAAGAATTTATTGTGACTCTTATAATTCTTATCGTTATTAAAATTTTTAAGCAATTAAGAATTTTTATGGAATTTATTAACCAATTTAAAAATGTCTTTGTACTGCACCATTAATTAGGAATAATGTAAATATGTCTCTTTGTTTGCTTTTTGAACCTATAAATACTCCCTTGTACTCAGCATTTGAAAGCAAACAAAAAAAAATCTCTTCCTATAATTTTCTTTTTTTCCAAAATAGTTTTTTCTTTCTTCAACAAAGTGATATAAGGCTAAATTCCAAAAAGCTGAGAGGAATGTGAAAAGAATTGAAAGATACCCAACAATGTAGTTTCTTTCTTCAAAGTCCCTCGTCTCATAAAGCATTATGAGGGATGGTGTCTATGAATGAAAATGTTGCTTAGCTCTCAAGATATGCGAGAGACCGGAGACAAAGGCTATGAGAAGCCTCAAAATGAAGAAGATTTATCTCCCACTGACAAGGAAGCTTTGTCCAAGTCAAGAAAGAAAGATCAGCAAACCCTCGCTCTTATCCATCAATTTTTGGATGATTCAATATTTGAAAAAGTTACTGATGCCACTACTTCAAAAGAACTTTTGGAGATTCTAAAAAAGTCTCTTCAAGATATGGAAAAAGTGAAGAAGATGAGATTTCAATCGCTAAGGGGTTCATTTGAAAATCTGACGATGAAGGGATCTGAATCAATCTCAAATTATTGTTCAAAAGTGAAAGCGATACGTACATTTAATGAAGAAGATTCTTCGTTCTTTAATTTCTAAGTTTGACTATGTGGTATATGTCATTGAAGAGTCAAAGATCTATACTCAATGATGGTTCTCTGCAAGGGTCATGAAGAAAAAATTCAAAGAAGACAAAGAGCCACTAAGGCAATTTCTCAAATCTAATTCTACTTTAAACAATGACATATGAGAAAAAACTCGATCTAGAGGATGTCGACGAGGAAGAGGAAGTGTTTGTGGCCCTAGTGGAACAGGAAAAGTTAATGGAGATTATTCAAACAATGAGAAGAGAAGCTAACCATCACTAAGAGGACAAGGAAGAGCAAGAGGAAGAGAACAAGGCTACTATCAAAATTAAATGAAAGGAGGCATGTCAAATCTAAAGTTGACCGGTATAGTTGTCATGAACTTGGCCATTTTGCTTGGAAATGTCATAGTGCCACTAATAATTTTGAAGAGAAGTCAAATCTTTTTGACGATAACCAAGAAATTAAAGAGTCGACTTCGTTGCTAACAATTGAGGAAGAAGGTAATGAGGTTTATAGTTTGTAGTACTTGGATAATGGAGCAAACAATCACATGAGTAGATATAAAGACAAATTTGTTAAGCTTAATTAAAAGGTGAAAGCCAATATTTTCTTTGGAGACTCCTTAAAAATGTAGATTGAAGGAAAATGTACCTCATCTCAAATGTAACCAATGGAAGCCACGTTCCTCTTAAGATAGGTCGGAATGATCTAACTAATTGTTTCAATTTTTCTATAATCCTTTAACTTATCATGCAAATCTTACTAGCCTAGTATAAGAGACATGGTTATCGTGGTTGTGGTTGGAATGGTGATTATGTAAAAACCTACACCTAAACAATACTGTCCCAACAATCTTCCAATTCATCACTAGTCCAAAAACTTCTATTGCTTAACTTTTTTATGGAGCTCAGCAATCACAATAAATCCACAAAGTCTAAGGTTGCACCAGTGCAGAATCAACTGACTGAGAGATACTTTGATATTGATGCTTTGAGCCTAAGAACCATTAACTCAACCTTTTAAACCAAATCACAAGTCTCAAAAGCTCAACTAGTAGTGTCTACGCAGAGCTCAACAATAACATTTTTTACAACGTGTATTTGGACTATCAAAGAAAGTAAAAAGAAAAAATGTAATAATAGCCACAGCATAGTTGCCAACACTAGCTTTTTTCACTAATATTCAAGGCCAAGAAGAGATTTTATTGTTATCATTGTTCTCGGGGACATTTTTGATAATCAAGGAATTTTATTCAAAAGAAAATCTTTAAAATTCACCAAAGTTCTTATTGTCTAGAGTTACTAATTAGTAGAATTTTCCTATCTTCTGTTGATTTGATAAACAACTATTTAGTATCTATAAATACGGAGTAATGAAGAGCATAAAGATTCCTGAAAATATTTACTTACAAACTGTTACTACAATATATCTGGATAGGCCATAGAAGATGAAGTAGTTAATTTTTCTATACATATCAGCTCCGTCATCAATTTGTACAACCTTTTTTATAAACTTTTGCATGTTTTGCATTTTTGTTCATCAAGATGCACGTATCAACATCCTAATCAAGTAAAGGTGGCTTCCGTTGAGACACCACATCGAAGGGCTTCATCATGAAATATTTAGGTCACTAAGGGATTAGGAAGAGGCGGATGAAAGTCGTTCGACTCCAGAAATGAAAGAAAAGAGAGAGCAGCTCTGCAAGTGGGTTAGGTTGGATGGAAGTAAGGCGAGACAGAAGTTGAATATTAGGTGGTCAAGGGGGTGTGACGGGGAACACTAAATTATTCCATTATGTGGTATGAGGAAAAGATTGATCAATAATGTAGCTTTTCTTAGTCTACAACCCTAATCCCCAACTAGCGTTGATTGTTTAAAAAGTAGAGTTTTTTTTCAGAAGTCACTTTGACAAGGTGGGTCAAGAAAGGGTTAGATTGATAGAGAGTAGGGTTAAAAGGCTATCACTGGCTAGTCAAGCAAAAGCTTTAGTGGCTTCATGTAAACAAGAGGAGGTTTTTGTGACTCTTTAGGGTTGTAATGGTGACAGTGTTCTAGGGTCTGATGGATTTAATCTGCAATTGGTTAATACTCAAACATAATGTGGAGAAGTTAATGGGATAATTTTTGTAGCTTCAGAAAGCTGTTGAAGTATTTCAATGCATCTCTCTTCAAAATCAGTAAGGATGACAACCTAACATCCAGCGAGGACCTTAGACTAATATCTCTTTTAGGGGCCATGTACAAATTGTTAGCAAGGTTTATGGGCGGGGATTTCAATTGGAAATTGTTAATTTGCTTTTGTGCTTGATTGTGTAGTGCAATCAATTTGACCAAGAGGAGAGGTCAAGTTGGATGGTAATCAAAGAACACTATGAGAAAGGCTGACTCTTTGATAGCAACTTCTTAAATCAATGACACAAAGGATGAACTCTAGTTAAAATGGAGGAATGGCATTTTCCAGGGTATAGCCATTGACCCATTTGGTTTTAGTAATTGACTCTCCCATTTGTCGATTCTCGATGAGGCGAAACCTGTGACTAGGTGACGTACTGCTCCCACCTTTCTTTAATATTGTTGAAGAGGGAATCACATGGATGGTTAAGAGGGAGTTGGCCCTGTTCTCAAGGGTGCATTTGGGTTAAGGAATTTCTAGCTTTAACTTACTCCAGTATGCAGATGATACCTTGGTCTTTTGTAAACCATTAAAGAAACTAGAGACGTGAAGAACTTAGGTGTCTAAAGTTGGCATCAAGTCTGAAGGTTAATTTTGCAAAGAGTAGCTTGATTGACCAGGGAGAGGATGAGAGTGGGGTTGCGGACATGGCTTATGGTACTAAATACACAGTTTCAGTCTTCCATTGACCCATTTGAACAAGCAACTGGGTACTCAATTGAATTCATTATGTACTCGGAAGCCGATCTTAGATAGGCTTATCAAGAAATTCATTTCATGGAAATCGAGGTACCTCCCATTAGGAGTGGCTATGAAAATAAAGAGCATTTCTAGAGGTTTTCTGTGGTCATATTGCAAGCATTGTAGGAAAATTCATCACATTAATTTTACAGTTGTAAGGGGTCTCACGGGTGCAATGAAATAGCTGTTAGGTAGTAAACCTAAACTTGTTAAAGCCAAAGGCTTCACTCCTTACAAATTGTTGATTCTTATTCTCTATGTGACTTTCGTTTAATCAAACAATGCTACTAAGCATTAGTATTTTTTACTTTTAACTAAAATTCAAGACATTTTTGGATTTATCACTATTTTAATATAAAAACAGTATCAAAAACAATTTGTTTGAACTTGGTATGAACTCTTATATTAGAAACAAAATTTTTAGAAAATTGATTGTGACAATCACACATATTTTATAATCGGATTATATTTAAACTAATGGTTGGAAGTATTTTATGACCTTTGGTACCTCGTTATCGACATCTAAGGACCGGACCCATGTTCTGTTATGTATGTTAAAAGAAAAAAATAGTTCAACAAAGGCTGTCTTTTGCTTTAATTTTTGTATCACTGCATTTAAACCGAGCATGAATTTCCAGTGAAACTAATAATTAACATAAATCTTGTTTCTTTTGGCTATATAGGAACAAATAAAGAGTTTGTGTAAAATTCATATAAACTCACACTTAATGAAGAAATCATATCCAAAATGATAAATATCCAAAACTCCTTATAGAATTAGAACAGTAACCTATGAGGCGCACGTGAAATTTGAAAAATGTCTTCAAAATTTCACCAAATTTGGCGAAACAAATTTGGCGAAACTAAGAATTGATTCTTCTATTTCACATGAAATTTTATATGAGCTCAATTTTTGTCGCATATCTTAATATAATTTATATTCTTTGATAATTAAAATAAATGTAGATTTTTACAAATGAATTTCACAAATTCTGAATTTGTTCCAACTATACCCTTTACTCTTATTTTTCATTTTACTCATTGACTATTCGTTGGGAAGAAGAGGTATAGAATTTTGTTCTATTATTTATCATTTATATTTTGAGAAAAAAAAGAAGTCTGTCGTGAGACCACTAAAACTGAAAGAGTAAAACCGGTTACCTGAATCGCCGGTTTTCCTCTTTCTTTTATCTTTGTTTTTCTTTCTCTCTCCCTTGGATCCAGGTTGTATACTTATAGGTTGCCCACCTGTCTGCTGATCCAAAAGGCAACAAGACAAAAAGTTAACTAAATCCAAGTGTAATGTCGGACAGTTAACCGGAATCGTGTACTCCTAACAAGCCACCATAAGTCAAAAGCACTAATGCAGATGGAGGGTTCTGTTATTCATAGTTGTCCAATTATTTCTTGCATCACAACATACTAAAAACAATTGAAACAAAAAAAAAAGAAAAAAGAAAAATTTTAAGCTCTTCTAAATAACATAGCCATATTTGCATAAGAAGATACGGACACAAACACACATATTGGTTTTAATTGGGTGTCAAGTGTCTAACCTCATTGGAAGCTGAGGAAACTCGAGCGTGATTATTTTCATATTCCTCTGCAATGAGAGAAAGTACTCAACAAATAAAATTAACTTTATATACATATATATAAACAGCAATAAGATTGATCACGTCAATCAAGTCTAGTGTTTGTATTTGGGAGTAAATGATAGCTAGTGATAATATCCATAAATTTTATGAAATTTATTTGTAAATCTGCACTTGGTTCCACTACGAGTTGATGTCAAGTTTTAAAAAAAATAATAAAAGTTGATCTTGGATTAGATGAAATCTCTGGCAAAGTTAGAATGATATGTTTCAATTCTATTTTGATAGAATTTGAGATGCTTTTTCTAATTTCGCCTGAAATTTATATGGGATCAATGCTTATCATTTAAAAAAATGCATCATCTCCTGAGTTGCCATGTGTAACTAAAGTACACGAAATTTTTAGATTTGTTCCAAAAGTAGCCTAAGAATTTAATTACCTTGCTCAGAAATTTGTTTGTTGATATTCAAAGGTGCAGATGTATCCTCTGGCTTTTCTTGATACACTGTAGTATCCACTAGTATTAGTTGGACATTAGTGGCATCTTTTGCTTCTCCTGGTTTGCTCTGGGGAACAAATTCGGTTGATGATGGTTCAATCTGATTGTCATCTCTCCTATTTTGATCTTGTACTTTCTGTTCAGCCCCATCTGTTTGAATGGGCACCTGTACAAGTGGTGATAAAAGCAGATGAATCAGAAGTCAATTGTTTCTAGTGCTTAGCAAAGCTAACTGTGAAGGGCTAGTTTCTTAACAGATGCAGGGAGAGCTGTTTTTGAGCTAAGACCTACTAACATAGCATATAAGAAGACGTTGAAACTTGGGACACCAAATCTTCTTCAGTTAAATCATGGGCCGGGCCAAATATTACCAAGTTTTTATGTTTTTTTAAGACTCATTATCCTTAACTGTATTCATTTGGAAGTCAAATCTTAATTGAAAAGGATAAACATGAGATCATGCTCCGTAATGAGATTTTTCAATAATAAGTCATGTTTATCTATTAAAAAAAATGACATAAGGTTTAAGGAGACTTATACGGATATTAACTGAGACTGTCGCTTAAATCCTAGAAAAAATTGGATAGTCAGCCTATTTTATAGTGTGGCTTTTAGATTAGGCACCACAATGCCGTCAACTGGATAGTTAAAGGCGGGTATCTACCATTGCCATTTATATATATTTTTCATATCGTTAGTGTTTCTTTTAAATGTTAAAACACCAAAAAGAATGGTGATTAAGAATAGTCATAGAGGAAGAAATAGAAGAAGAAGAGGAAAAATAGAAATTAAAAGGATCAAAAAAGGGATACCAACATTAACTTTTCAGAAGTTAAAAGAATTAAAAAAAAAAAAAACAACATTTTGTAGATAAAATATCCAAAGCATATCACATCCTAAGTATAAAACTTTTACACACATATCCTAAGTTCATCACGTCCTACTATTACTTTTTTCTCTACAAACCACTAAAATGAATATATTTATATATATATATGTTATTATGTATCATAAAATTTTTAAACTAAATACCAAAAGACTCTTAACATAGTTACTAGATTATTCTTGATATATGACATAGAATCATATTATTCATGTTTTATTCATATTTTAATTATTTTGAAATGACTAAATAGTTACAAAAAATCCCCCAAACTTAATAAATATAAGATTAGAAAATTTTTATTCCTAACCTTTTCTAGTGTGTTCTTAATGCCTACGGATATAAGGCTTTTCTATTGTCAACAATTAGAAGAAAAAGAGAACAATCTCTGCCTTCTTCCCAATAACATAATTATGTTCATATATGCTGGTTTTAATTGGGTTGTCTCTAACCTCAATGCAAGTCAAGGAAACTGGAGTCACATTGAATTCAAGTTCCTCTGCAATAAGAGAAAAATATTCAGCGGATTAGTGAGCACTAAATTCGAGATGTACATATATATAATACAATTAATCACTTTAATCAGATGTACTATAAGTTCGAATTTGAGAGCAAATGGTGAGCAATCAAAAAAAAAAAACTTCAAAAGAATTTAATCATTTACCTCTCTCAGAAATTTGTTGTGTATCAGATGGTGCAGAGGTGTCCTCTGCCTTTTCCTGGTATTGTATAGTTGTAGTAACAAGTTGGACATGAATAGCTTCTCCTGTTTCAGTCTCATCTTGCTCTTCCACTTGTTTTTCTTCAATTCCATCCACCTTCACCCCATCTTCCGGTTGCTTCTCAGACGGATACTCAATCTCAACCCCAACCTCATCTTCTTCATCATTTTCCTTAACCAAACCTAAATTACCATCCTCGTCCTCAACCTCATAAGGTAGGAGAAACGAACTAAGAAGAGGAGGAGTGGCGTCGGGAAGCAACTTACTCATGAGCTTATGAGTACAAACGTAGCTAGCCAAGAACACTCCACAAGGCACCGACAGAAGTGCTCCCATGGCAGAAATCACCGCAAGCGGCGGAACAACCAGCGGCGCGGATGATACTACGAAAGTCGCCATCAACAACTTTCTTCCCACTCCAACTACTCCGTCCTTCAACGCAGAACTCATCTTCTCATCCTCCTGAACCTCCACAGAAATCATGAGAAAGAAGAGAGAGTTTTTGGAGGGAAAGAGGGAGAGTAGCTTGTTGGACAAGTTGATACACGGGATATAAGTCTGCAACTGAAAGCGACACGTGTTCGCATACGGTTGCAACAGTTTTTATTTTACAAACTGCATGTTGATCCACGTGGTTCCGCATTTCAATGTACGCTCTGTGCCACCGCCCTCCTGTTTTTCTTCTTTGCGTTTGGCCCCTAAAGTTTACTTTGTTTACATATTACTCCCTTCTTTCAAGATAAATTCGCAAAATACCGTCCTATGGCTGATTACATGTAGCAAGTTGCCGGTCAATTATTGTTATTGTGTTCGAATTTAATTAAATAAAAAATAGAGGTTATACAAATGGTTCGAATCCTAATATATTTTATATATTAAAATAAGTTACGGAGATGATTTAATTATTATTTTGTTAAATTTAAAGTGAATGAAAAACAATGATTATTGAATTAACAAAATTAAGAAAAAAACAATTTAACAAATAAAGAAAATAAATAAAATAAAATTCAACAATTACTTATTTTTAAAAAAATTCAAACCAAATTATATGAATAATTTAAACTTAAACATTTGAGAGTTAGTGGATAGATTTAAAATTTGTTAAATTAGTTATTTTTAAAATTGAAACATTGTAAATAATGTCAAAACACCTTAGTTTGGTAACTTTATGTTAATATATTCCTAAGTTTTTATAGATTTTTTAATTTCAATTTATGATTATGATATATAATTTGATAAGAATATTAAATATTTTAATTGTAAAGATTATGATATATCAATTTAACATCAGAAAAGTATTTGATTATCTTTATATAAAAATTTAAATTATAAATTACGAATAACTTAAGTTTGGACTCTTAAATATTAATGTTCGAGTTCAAAAATTATCGTTGGTGATTTTTGGACCTAATACATTATGTTTAATGTTTTTATTCCATCACCCTCAAAACCTGCTAAAGAACTTAAAAACTACTTGGAGAAAAAAAAGTAATACTATTCTTATTTTAATTATTTATTTCTATACACATGTGATATCTATAATTCTAAAAAAAAAAATTATCATTTAACTTTGATTGTTAGTGACAATCTGTAAATAATAAAATGAACTATCTAATGGGTAAAAAGATATAGGAGTTAGTTGATCTTTTCCGAAGTAGTAAAGCAATGGATACTAGCGGTTAATAAAGAAAAAACTAAAAGTAGATTACATTTGTTTGCACTATGAAGCAATAGTAACTTGTACTGAGTACTAATTAAATTTTATTTATATGCATTACGAAGAAAAAACATAAACTAGATAACATTTCTATATAATATAATATTCATTAGTACATATATATCTAACGCATTACATTTAGTACTTTTAAAGCCATAATTACATTTGCAATGTGTAAAATAAACCAATTTATTTCACAACCTAGAGAGCCTTATCTAAAGGTTGTGCATCATCTTTTTGTTACATCAACTCTAAATCATCGGATGGTCTTTTCTTTTCAACTATTTCTTCCCTCAAACTCCAAACAGTCTCAAATACATATTGTGTTACTTGCATATATTTTAAAATTTATTACTTATCTTTGTATTTTTCTTAGCGATTCATTTGATTCCTTAGAATGCTAAAAAGCAAACAATATTTCTTGTTCATTCATTGAAACATAATACATAGTGTAACCTACTACCATGAGTGAATTTATTTAGATGAAGTAGTAATATTGTCTCTTCTTCTCAGTTGTTTCTCCCCTCTAACTCCAAACGTTTTCATATGTAAACTTAGTTATCTACATATATTTTCAAAAATCTGTAATTGGTTGTTAATTTTTCTTAATAGTTCACTAATCTGTTAAGAAGTTAAAAAGCATATAACTATTTTTTCGTTCATCAACTTAAGCAGAATACTAAGCCTTAGTTGCTAAGATGAGTGAACTTATTTGGATCAAGCAATTGCTTTCTAATTTTGGCATCCAATCTTTCGATCAAGTTTTTCTTTTTTTGCAATCATCAGGTAGCGATGTACATTGTTCTCAATCTAATTTCCATGAAAGCATTAAATATATTGAAATTGATTATTATTTTGTTCAGTATCAATTATCAGGTTAAATAATTAAGTTATTCTTCTATCTGATCACAACATCAATTAGAATATGTTTACCGAGCTTATATCTCATATGTTTTTTTTTCTTTGCATATTGAGATAAATATTCACAATAATCATAGTTTCATCTCGAATGAGAGTATTAAAATTTAAGGTAGTTATTATTTTGATACCTAAGTTAACGAACTTTTTCTTCTTTACTGAATATATATTTTCTGAAAATGTGCTTAGAGAATTACTAATAACACTTAGTTTTTACTCCAAATATATTTGTAATAGTAAGTATACATAGATGTTGAGACTAATAAAGACAAAAAAGAAATTTTAAGAAATAAAATTATTAAAGAGCGGGTAGCCAATAAGCCAAAAGTTGAGAGTCAAGAGTTCCAGCAGCACACTCACCTAGGTGAGAGGGAGGAAGTTGATTCCAAGGATAGCCCAAAATGAACTTTATCATATTGTAATGTTCATAATATCGATACTTGAATTAAATTTATTTTTATTCATTGGATAACTAAAAACGTTGACACTCATTAGCATGAACTTATGTTACATTTGGTTCTCTTTAACCTATATAATGTGAAAAAAAAGAAAAAAAAATATTGTAAGCAGAACTGATTAGCTTGATCATTTTTTGCATATAAACATGTAATCAAACATGGTAACAGTCTCTCAAATATGTACTTACAGGAAGTAATCGCATCACAATACAAGATTATTAAATCCCAATAAATATGTTCTTGAAAAAACTGTAAAGATTCAGTACAATTAAAAGACAAGAAGCCCCAAGAGCAGCAATCATATTTTCCTCCTAATATAATGTAAGGCCTATCTTACATCATTCAGCTGCAGGCTTGGAACGAATTTTGTCATACAACCGATACATCATTGTCGACTTACACATTTGAGGTTCCCTTTCCAGTACAGCAATTATATCCTTGACATCAACTGTACGAGCCACACTGGTTTTAGGCGTGCTGGGTTGGTTTCTGCTGAATTTTCTAACAGCCCCTACAAAAATATACTGATGATTTTTAAAAATAATAATAATAATAATAACAAATTTTTTTAAGGAAAAAAAGAGGAAGAAAGCTGTGCTGAGCTAACTACATTTCAATTCAGAAATCGTATCAGTAAAGTTAAGCATCAATATTTCAGATGAGATGTTTATAATGCTTTCCCATTTGTCTTTCTTCTTCAGTCCAGAGGCAAAACTACAACCTAAGCGCTTTGTCTGAAGCAGGATGTGTTTCAGAAGTAGGGGTGCTATCTTTGGTATAACACTACCTCACATGGCAATTACAGACTAAATTATACATGGATCTTTCAATTTTGGGCATAATTGCAATTGGGTTTATGAAGTTTTTGAAGTATGTAATTCAGGCCTACCCCAGTTTAGTTTAGATATTATTCAAAAATATCAATTTGATACTAAGTTGTGAGATCTCTACTTCTTGTTGCTGTTAATTTTAAGTTTCTGCTCAATCTCTCCTTCTACATCCATTGATATCAAAGCTTAACTTCCATGGGCAGCAGCCAAATGGAACATCAAGAAAAAAATCCAGAAAACAGTATTACACAAGTCTACTGCAACACTGTTCCGCCTGATCTAGGAGTTCGACCACCATGGTCAGTGCATGACATCACCCTCAGTGCCACCAGTAAATCCTAGCAAATCAACTTGGTCATTAGCCAGAAAATCCACCAGTCATTGTACGGCTCACAGCAGAACCACACCAGTATTGCCAAACTGGAAAAGAATATTCCCAATCACATCACCAGTCACCAGGTCCCTATTTGGAAGCTTCACCTGTCTGAGAAACCTCTCATTTAAAAACCAGTATTTTTCAATAACTGGAAGCCAGCATGTGAATCACAGGCATGCTGGTCATAAGTGATCTTTATTCCACAGTCTCTTCTTAACTGGTTCAAACCAGCTTGACTGACCTGGTTCTCTACACAGCTTCAGCCAAATAGAGGTTATTACCTAAGATTTTCCAACGCATTTTTTCCAGAGTTTGATGTTTGTTTTATCATATTTGCATTCTATATTCACCTTGGCCCGGACTTACCATCTAATTGTGCCATTTAGTAAAGGGCTACAACATTGGCTACTGGACATTGACCATCTTCTAACAGACCCTCTTTATCTGATGAATGAACTGTCTACTTGATAAAGTTAAATATTGTCTATTAGAAGTTTATGAAAAACCATTCTAGTCAGTATACATGTACTATTCCCACTGCTAAAACTACTGGTTGCTTGTCAACTTCTCAAGCACTCAAATGGTTGTGTGAACCTGAAGTTGCTTATTCAATTTTTAGCGTAAGTAAAATAATTGGACCAGATATTCTTTATAAGAAGTACAAATACAAACGGTCCTTGAGTTGATTGTTTCTAAAGTTTAAATTTTAGCTAATAGACAAGGCAATAACATAGTAAGAGAACTTATGTTAGGAACATAAGTAGAAAAATAATACCTTTTAGTAAGGTGTATTAAAGAGGGAAGAAGAAACTATATAATTAAGATAGCTGTATATGTGGGTAATGTGTGTTGTTTTGGGCTTAGATAGGTATATGTGCTGCATCATGAATTTTGTAGGTTTACTTGTTGATTTTTTATGAAGTATAGCGAGTATAAATGGATAGTTAATGCTGTTATGGAGAATAACTTCCAAAATAACTGTTTCTCTTTACTTTATGTGCTGTATCGGTGAGTAGCAGAGTGTGTAATAGAAGAAGAAAAGGGTAAGGATAGGATAAGGAAGATGGGCTGTTATGAGCAGTTATGAGAATAACTTGTAGCATAACTGCTTCTCTTTGCATTAAAAGACTAAGCTGTCTTTGTTGACAGATTATGGAGGAATAATTAATTTACAAGTTTTGCGTGCTTCTTTTTATTCAAGAGATGGTTGGATTCTCTGTTAAGGAGCCCATACTATTAACAAAATGTTGCACGGCTTATAATACATCATGTGATGTTGATTCATGATTGTAAAGTATTGGTTGTAAAAGTATTCAAGCACTTTTGAAGGTTAAGTCTGTCTCAATAAAATGATATTTCTTGTACAAAGAAATAATTATGATCCTTCTTTCACAATAAAAGTGATTACATCTTCCTAGAGTTGCTTTTCCTAGACCCTCACAGTTCTAGAAGTTCTAAAAAAAGCTTTGCTAAGTTAGTCAAGAGAATTCTTGGAAGTTATGCTATTAAACTTAAACCACCTTTGATGCATCCAATAAGATATACCTGATGATTCCCTTAAATAATAACTTTGGAATGGGCAGCAAGCAGAGTCTAATAACAAATTGTTTGGGCTTGATTAGGTCAAAATTCAAACTTTCTGAATTCTAGTCTTACTAGTAAAGGGTTGAGAAAAGTTGTTAAACATCTTTACCCGGGTGCTTTATTTGTGGAATTATGGACGATATAACTAGAAACAAGTAGGGGATCATTGAGGATTGAACTCTCCTGATTGAAGGTCTATGGGAGAAGATAACATTCTTGGCCGCCTTATGGCAATGGCACGTGAAATTTTTTTTAACATTTCTAATGTATTTTTGTTTGGAAGTTCCTCTCCATGCAGACCATAGGAGAGTATCTTTTTTCCATAATCGTGCATTTCTTTTCACTCTCAATAATATTTCTTTTTGCATAAAACCCAAAAGAAAACTCTACTCAAACTCAATCAATATCTAGCTCGAACTAGATTCGAGCAGGAAAAGATAAAAACAAAACAAAGCAAAATATGCTCAACTAAACAAGCATAACTCAAGCCTAAAACTGTTTGAATAACAGCTAGCAAATGAAGATAGTTTATCCTCCCAATGTTTATCCTGAACATGTTCATCATATATTACTAAATTAAATTTACTTATTAATTATAATAAATAGCATATCTTTGAATATATTAATTTATATTAATTATCTTAAATAATTATGTACTTATATATCCTAAATATTAGACATTTTAATTACAATATAGAAGAACTCGTGGTCGAGTTAACTTGCTTGGATGGATTGTTAGCTTATTTTTTGCTTGCCATCTATAAACTTGGATGGGTCGGCCTGCTTGTTTGTTTTGCTTGCCCTCTCCTTGTTTGGATGTCTTCCGATCAAGAAAGCAAATGACTAGTAGGGTATGAGGAACTACAGGAAAAGGTTTATCGTTTTAGTAGATCTATGGAGATTGAGTTTGGTTGAACTAATCCCATGCGTTATCATATTAGGAACTTTTTATCCTAATATCAAATTGATTGAGAATCATACTATTGAAATTTCAAAGCACAGTGCTTAATCTGCTTTGGTTTTAGTAGATCCATGAGATTCTAATGCAAATCATCAATAAAGAAAACAAATTATTGTGGCCCAGATACATTTGAATATTGAGGGTCTCTAGATATTAATATGGATCAAGTAAAGTGAGACTGGCCTTCTTAGATTACTGATTGGAAAGGAAATACATTTGTATTTTATGAATTCACACTATAATAAAAATTATTCACATTCAATCATTCAAACAAAAATTGAAAACATTAGTTTTTACCAAAAGATGGGTGTCCAAGTCCAAAATGATGAAACCAGATAATACTTTTATTGGATGACGGGAAAAATAACATAGATAATTGTTGATTTGGAAAAAAATAATAACTTTATTTCTCACGCTTAAATTGTTACATTTACAATATTTATAAAATTTTTATTTTACAAATAGAAAAATTCTTAATCTACTAGATTTCTAATTATATGAGATTATTATTCTCATAAAATTATAATTACATAATATTGACTAATTAAATAATAAATTAAAATAATTAAATAATAAAATATGTTACTCAACACCTCCCCTCAAGTTGGTGCAAAGATTTCACGCATGCCCAACTTGCAGACCAAGTTGCAAACTGGAACCAAATCTTTAAGGCAGCAGTTCGGCTTGGTTCGACTCAAAAAAGGGATTGGGTTCAGCTCAAAACCGGGTCGTCTTTGGCTCAAAAAACAGCTCGAATTCGGCTCAAAAAACGACTCGACTGAAAATGGCTTGACTCAGACAGTAGCTCAATTGGCTCAGACTAGACTCCACGCGGCTCAATCGGCTCAGGCAAATTTGCATGAAGTGGAGATCGCAGCCAAAAAAGCTTCTTGTCTACGTGGATCTGCGGCGGAAGAAGAAGGTTGGTGACGTGAACGGACCCAATTTGCAAAGTGAAACAAATCATGGCAGGGAAAAATCATATATGCGCATGACACGGCGTGGCCAAAGGCTCTGTGCAATCGGAGTGAGGCAGATCGAGGTGTTCGCGCAGCTCTTCGCACGGCAGAAGAGAAACTGGATCGCGCACCTCTTCACGCAGCTCTGCGCGCAGCGAAAGAAGAAGCTAGGTCGATCGACTCTTCACGCGTATCTGCACGCAGGGAAGAAAGAACCCAAGGTGGTCACGCGACTCTGTGCGCGGCTGAAGAAGGAAACCTTGGTGGTCGTGCGGCTCTGCCCGTGGCAGAAGAAGAAGGAACCCACAGCTTTGATTTCTCTTTTCCTCTTATTTGACTTTTCTTCACAAATTTTGCTCTCTCCCTTTGATCTAGCTCTTTTTTTTTAATTATTTTTAAGATTAAAAAAAATCCTGAAATTAAAACTCCAAAATAAGTGGTGAATAGGGTATCTCTGAAAAAATAGGTACCAACCCAACCTATTGTGTTATTTTAGGGTTTAAAGAAAATCCTGAAATTAAAATCGTAAAAATAGCTTTATTTAGCTCTGATACCATGTTGATTTTGAAGAAAAAATAATAATTTTATTTCTCACCCTTAAATTATTACATTTAGGATATTTATAGAATTCTTATTGTACTGATAGAGAAATTTTTATTCAACTAAATTTCTAATTATATGAAATTATTAATTCTCATAAAATCTTAATTATATAATACCAACTAGTTAAATAATAAACTAACATAATTAAATAATAAAATATGCTACTCAACAATAATTCATCTTGAATAAATTCAATTTGTTAAATTCTTCAAGATAATAGAGCTTATTTTATTCCTTAGCAAGTCCAATCCTCTTTATAGTATAGGGGTTGGACTAATATGAATAACTTCTAGATCAACTATGATAACAGAGAACCATCTCTAATAACTACCTTTTGATTGCTTGAGCATAGAGGATAAATGTAAAACTTAGTGAAGAATTGATCATATCAAATGCGGCTTCTGAGTTAACAATTCACAGATTCCTAATAGTTTCATCTGAGATAACTAACCCTTGATACATAGAAAATTTTACTTGAGTGTGCAAAAGAACATGACCACAAGGCTTCTTCAATGATACCAAAAGCTCACTTATTTTCTTGATCTCCTTTTATTGAACTAATCTGGCCTCGGGACTTTTCTTAATTCAGCCAATTCATAATCAGGTTGACTTGACCTTGATATTTCTGTTCTCCTCCTTAGTGGCCCCACTCTTTGCTTTGTGGGTTATCATTTATTTCCTAACACTTCTCTTTACTATACCTTTGTTTCTCGGAAGGGGAACGCTAGAGAGAATCCTTGATGTCCCTTACTGAGGATCTTGACAAATGTTCTCACATTTTTCTATATTGACAGCCTTTCTATTTTCATCACCATTGCTTAACCTTCTAAGATCAAGCATCACACGCCTTGCAACTCTCCTGACCTCGAATCAAACAATCTCAATATGGTAGCTCTTCATTGTTAAGAATCTAAACTTTAATCAGTATAGAGACTTATAAGAAATCATAAACTCGATCTTTTTTCAGTAAAATTCTTCAAAATTGCAATATCTTCTTTGCCCCTACTTCTGATAAATTGATAATAGTCAAGTTCTTGGTTTTAGAAGCTTTGAAATAAATTTGTGCACCCCGTAACAGGTTCATTGCTTTTCTTTTCGTGCTGGTTTTGACTTTTATCTCCTATACATGAATGTATCTCAAGATTTGACATCTTCCAAACAGCATCCCTAATCTCCTTAGCCATGGATTAAATTGCTGATCTCAGGATCCATTTTGTTTTATAACCATGGCATGATCATTGCATATGCTTCATCATCCCATACATCAAATCTTGGATCTCCATTCTCCACCCCCTTCCCTATGAGATGATTAAGTTTTCCTTTCCTTTTCAAGTACATTTTAATAAATTTGGACTTAAGGTAATTTTCCCATTCTATATGTTTTCTGAATATTTTGAAGCTCTCGTAAGTGTTGATTGATGAGAACTTATGCAGTCTAACCAGTCATATTGAAAAATAACATCATCTTTGCCGTTTCTAACATATTTCGCATAATTGAAAATCGGGTTTCCTCCTGCAAAGTTCCGGCAGGAGAGAGGTCTGGCAAGGATCCTACGGATTTCCACTACGAACAGTGAATTTGAATACGGTCAGGAAGCCAGCAGTCCCATATCAGCAGGATTCTCTAATCAGGATCCCATATTAGTAGAGATCTCTAATCATATCAATCCTATCAATGGGTTTCTATAATTGGCATACCATATTTTTAAGATTAATTTCCTAATATTGAGATAAAATATTGAGAGATTTCCAACATTCCCAAATACCAGTCCTAATTTCCACTTGTAGATGCCACTAATCAAACTTATCAGTCCAAAATCCTTCAACTCCATAACCTCCTCATTCCAAACCTTCAACCTACCCTTTTGTAAAGTAGCTTTTTCATGACTTAAAACCCTCCACCACACTGGGTTACACTCCAATCACCAATATCTGATGTTCACAATAAAAAAAAAAAAGTCAACCTCTTCTCAAAACAAAAATGAGCAAAACCCAAACTTGATTGGTCAGACTCTAAAAGAACAGAAAAGTGATAAGAAGCCGATGCAAAACCTCTTGTACCAAATCAGAGCAACAATCTTTCCTAGCTACTGGAAAGTAAAAATGACTTCATACAAGAGGATAAAAACATACCTCTACTCACCAAGTGTGCTTTCAAGTAAGGGAGATTCCTAAGCTAAAAATCTATATATTTTCTGTTATTTTATTTTCTATGCGCGCTCAAGTTTTCTATTTTTATTATGTGTGGTGCCTACCAGTACACTAACTTGATTGAGATTCAAAATATTGTGATTCTTATTCAACATTGTTAAGATATCAATTTGAGCTCCTATTAATCTTTCATAAGTTTGCATTCAAGTGCTTTTTGTCCTACAATGGACCAATATAGTCTATTTTACCTGTATACAATTTATTTATGTTTTTATTTCTAAATTATAAAATTAATTTTTAATTAGTAAGTAGTTCCTTTATAGTAACTAATGAAGCTAATTAGTAAAAATTGAGATTGTTTAGAATAACTTGATAGCTTTGGTGCTTAGAAGTCCATATGGTTTTTAGCTCTAACGAAATTCATAGTGCTTTACCCGGTAAATGTATTTGAACTGATTTTTTTTTTCTAGATTTTAACTCTAATAAGTTATCAAGTGTTAGGTAAAATTAGAATTTTAGGATATAAATTCAGTAAAAAGGACATGGAAGTTGCTCTTTGATTAAAACTTAAATGTATTTTTTACAAATTAGGTTCTCTTTTAGATAATAATACCTAAAAATAGTTTCAGACGAAAGTAATGTTTTTCTTATTAAATTTATTTGAGATGTTAATCTAATTTTTCATATAACTAGTAGTTACAAATTTACCATAACTCCTTACCCAAAAAAGGCAGATCTAGCAAAAAACACTAGTCAAAGAAGATTCTAATCTTTCACTAGAAACTCTCCCAAAAGAATTAGTCTTGTGAACTATTTTTTGGCTAAAAGCTCTAAAACTTTCAGCACTTTCAAGAACTATTAAAACATTTTATAATTTTCTTCCCAAAATGTGCTTAGAGCACCTTTGACCAACAAAAAAAGTCATTCTGAACACCCTTGATATATTAAGTTTAACATAGCCTATCAAATAATCTATTTCAATCCATATATCAAATTGTTAAAAATTTGTTAAGAAGCTAATTTATCAAATACTACTCTTTTTAATCCATTATTGTCCTCAACTTGGTCAAAAGTACGTTACCGTACAATTTATATAGAGTTTCAAAATTGAGTAGGTTTCTGTAATCTGGGTCCAAAATAAAGTGAGAATTTGTAATTTTCCCTAAAACTAATAAACAAATTGACATAAGAGTAAGTTACCAGATGCAGAAACAGAAGTTACATGGCCACTTTCCTCTGCTTCTTGGTTGTCCCTCGTGTTTCTTCCAGATACCAATAGAGGCTTATGGGTGACATCTTTACCTGCCAAAGAACCAGATAAAGTATCAAGCCCTCCCTCACGCTTCTGGCGAGCTTGCTCAGCCATAAGTTGCCACTTTGAAAACATGTCATCTCCCCCAGCAGCAGCACGTGCAGCAACATTTGCAGCTGTAGCCCTCATTTTATCATCCTCCTCCTTGTTTGCCTGCAGACTGAATAAAGGTAAAAAGGATTCTCCCACATATGGATATATACCACCTCTATATCAAGAATATTCAAATACCACCTCAATACCTTTGCCAATTTTACACGACCTTCGTCTTTCTCCTTATCACCATCAACACCACTGTCAACCTCAGGCTGCATCAAGCAATTTTGCTTTTGGTAAAGCATCAATTCAGATATTACATGACAAAATAAATACATATGGCAGTCACATCTACAGGTGCAATAAACTTATGGAAGTGTGTATTGTCTGTATGCATTGCAGGTGTATTTATAATGGATAGCCCTAGGCCTAAACAGAAAATATGTTAAGCACCCACTTGATTGAGTTTCTGCAGTTTTTCTGCTTCAGCCTGCTTTCTTTCCCACTCTTCCTTAGCTTTTTGGTTAATCATCATAATTTGTTGCTGAACATCTGAGGTTATAAAAGTTCGATGTCTAGCCTTCTCAGCATCAACCCTCTACAGAGACTTTTTGAAATGAGAAAGATAATGATACAGACAATCTAGTTAGACAGTATAAACAACAGAAAGGCTACCTGTTTTGACGTTCTGATTATGTTACATATTAGTCCACGGATCCTTTCCTCCACACACTAAGGATTAAGTTACATGAGAAGATATATAAACAAATCATAATAACAGCTACAAAGTAGTTTGCACCTCACCAAAGATAAGCATCGCTCCACATCATTGTTTATATTCTTCAAACCACATTTGACCACTATAAGACAAAAAAAAAACAGATAAAAAGAGTCTGACGGATGCTATTTTTCCCTATAAAAGAGGCACTTCTGTATCCAAGGGCATATAAAGTACTAACAGATCTCAGCCAATTTCTTCTGCAGTGGAGATTTCTGCAAAAGCAATCTTTCTTCTTCCTCTTGCACAACCCTTCGAGATGCTTCTGAAATTCGACTGTCCTCCTTGGGCCCAGAGAATAGTTGTTCTTCCTCTTCCTGTTCAAAACAGATGGTCAGAAGGTATTAACATCACATTTAAAGAATTAGGACAGCTTGTCACCAAATACCCCACCCTAAGATTGACTCCACTGACAGCAGTGACATCATTGAGTTGTTCAATGCTTTGGTCTGAAAAGGGCCCGGAAGCTTTCTGCTTCTTACTGTAGAAAATTTCATTAATTACATGTAAAATGAAAAAACACAACATTAAATCAGAGACAAATGAAACATCTCTTAATTAACAATCAATATCATTCTCTTTCTCCCCACACCAAGATTTTGTTACCTTGATGCTGGTGGTGATGAACCAAGTTCTTCCAGTGGTTTCTTCTGACCAATAGAAGGCTTTTTTGCAGGAATTCTTGCATTAATTGCAGCCGGAGAGGTCACAGATGGAATCCTAGAGCTCAACTAGTAAACGTAGAAGCAACAAGTAAATCCTTATCAATAAGACTATACAATTTAATCTGTGCAAAAAATCAACAGCCAAGAGGTCCTTCAGAAATCAAAGGGAATAACAGTAAAAATAAAAGGAACAACAAACAACATAGTGCCCATTTTCTCACAAGCAGATAAACATGAAGAAACATGTCAAATGATCTCCCCCCAACATAACAACATAACAGCAAAATCAGGTAGCATAATAAATTATTTTGCAATTTACCGTGACACTAGAATCTAGCTGTGTTGTCGTGGAAGGAGAAATAGAACTTGAAGGCATCATACTGGTAGATGTCGAGAAACCCATTCTCGAAGACTGGTTCTCTGAGATATCATCCTTTAAAGACCTAGGAATTGCATTCCCTTGTCCAGTTTTAGCAGAAGGATCAGCACCCTGATCAACTGATTCTTGCTTAATATATGTCAGTGATGACAAAGGGCCAGAACTCTGCTCCTTGCTTGCTGATGCCTGCCAAGGCACTGAATTATGTTGCAGTGATAAATTATTAGATATATGAGAAAGAGGACCACCCTGCACTCTACTAGGATCATTTGTGTGGTTTTGGCTCTCAAACTTAGGCACATTCATCATGTTCGCATGTTGACCAGCCCCTCCAAATGGAGATGATCCCACACTTTGATTATGTGTAGTTTGTCTCATTTGGGAATCTTGAGGTTGTGTTTTCAAGGATGAAGCTGAAGTATTGACATTTGTCCCAGAATATGGGTTATAACTACCACTGGCATTCCCAGTCCCATACATGGGAAATGAAGCCTGTGGAAACTGCATATGTTGTTGTACTTGCTTGCTAAGTCCTTTTACAGGAGTTGAAGAGTGTTCTCTCTCTTGAATCACATTGCTCGGATTGGAGGAAGACATTGGTCCTGCTAGAACTCCATGCTGATTTCTGTTATGTTCCACCTCCCAAGATTTTTTAGCACTGCTTTCTATTGTTGGATAGCCTGATTCAATCTTCATTTTGACCGTTGAAGGGGGAGTAAGAGATGGATCTACCGGACTGTTGGAGGTTTTCTTATGGACCTGTACAGATGATTGGGAATCAGCAAAAGTTGTTGCAGTGGCACTAACTGGTGCCAGCCTTGGCTGGTTCTGCCGTGCTGAAGCTTGGGACTGCATCTGAAACTGATTTGAATTCATCTGAAAGTACTCAAGAAGACAGCTGAAAATTAATATCACTAACTGAAAGATGAGTTTTCATCAATGACATGATCCATAGTGCATTACCTGTAACCGCAATTTGTTAATTGCCAACTTGAGCATCTGGTCTCCTACAATACCCCTCATATGTCGGATAAATCCATCCTTTGCAATTTCATTTTTCTAACAACAGGAGCATTAGAAAAATCAGAATGACATGTGATAACCTAGTCCATTATATATTAAAAATAAAAAAGAATACACCCTATATACTCTAAGTCACAGACCCGACCTGCAGTTTAGCATATAGAGTATGTAGCTGCATTGCTCTGTCTTTATCAAGTTGTGGGATTAAGGCAGGCAGCAAAACTGCAAATGGTATTTGTTTATTACTACGATTTAACGAGCTATTAGACTGCTCTGTGCTAGAGGCTTGTTGATTGCTCATCTTCTGTAATTTCAAGTATTGAGATTCACTATCTTGATTATGCATTATTTCCAGCTCATGTGTGACCGTAGAATTTTGTTCAGAAATATGCATCCCAATCGCTTGTGGAATCTGAGGAGAAACTTGAACTTCCTGCCCTTGTTGATAACTATCATGGGATTGGTTCTGTTGTAACGAGATGCAATTTGGTTTCTGTGAATCATTCTGTTGCTGCTGGTTCTGAGAATGAAATCTAGTTTGCTGCTGCAGGTGCAATTGAATGTTTCCTGAACTATGTTGATTTTGGGAGCTGGTATTTTCATTACGGTGAGCAGTTTGCCACCGTGCAAATGACTGACCGGAACTCTGATTGCTTCCATCAGGAAAATTTGCTGCAGTTAAGGAAAATAAGAAAAAGTTCAAGAAAGTTCAAGAAGCTTCCCAGCAAGCCATATAGACAACAAATGCAATGCTCACGAAGGCAAATGATATCCAATCCAAAAAATTTGAGTTAACATCTATTAAGTGCTTTATTTCCTAATCTATTATATAGAAACGAAATAGTCCAACATTGGTTAGTCAAGATATTTAATGAGTTTCTAGACAGTACAAATAAACATAAAGCAGACATAACTTATTGACAACAGAAAAAAAAGTATATTAGAAAAAGAATGAGGAGATATAGCCCATGGGAGGATAAGTTATCTTCTAGAGAGACAAAACAAGAAAAAAACACATACAAGAGAACAAAAGCAAAGCCAAAGAACAGCATATATAGGAAACCAAAAAACCATGTGCTTAACCTGAAGAGAAATCAAGCATCCTATCCTGTCCCACAAATCCATAAAACCATGTGTTTAGCCTAAAGAGAAGTCAAGCACACAATCCTTTCCCACAAAATTCATAACAAAATAGAAATGCTGATCAAAGATTCTAGTACTTCCCTCCCACCAAAGGACCCATAGAAACAAACCTCCCCCCTCAAAACTCCAAAGAAGCATGGAATGCTCATTACTCATTAAGATAGGGAGAAAAGAAATAATTACAAAATGGAGAATAAGACATCATCCCTAGAAAGAAACAAAAATCAATGTAAAGGAAGTACATGAGAGAACTCAAATAGCAGACCTGCTCTCTAGAAATGATGGCATCCCAATTGCCATGGATCTCCAAAATAGTATAATCATGGAAATAACCGTGAGCTTTAGCCCAAAGAGATGCCAAAAATGAAACCCTCTCACGTAGCTCATACAAAGACACCGACTGATCATTGAAATCCGTTTATTCCTAGTCAACCAAATACACCATAGTCCAGCAAAAATAGCATCTTGCCAAAGAGGTTTAGCCTTATTTCTCACCGCAACACCCTCTAGATTTGAATGGACAAAACTATCAACAGTAAGGGTAAGTACCCAACTAAGGCCAAATTTCCTCATAATATAACTCCACATTCTCCAGGCCAAAGAGTAGAAAGCGAATAACTAGGAATGGATCTTACTGTCTCTGAAGCACATCAGACGTGTAGGATAAGGCACGATAGGGGCAATGAATTTGAAGCAAATTATAGGTATTGAGCCTCTAGTTGATAACAATCTAAGAGAATACCTTCACCTTTAAAGGAACCCTAGCTTTCCAAAATGCCTTGGCCATCCGAGAGTTTGTGGTACTAGGATTATTGATGAGATAAAGAGTAAAAAAACTTGCATGTATAGGCCAAAAGAGTCTAACAGTCCATATATGGGAATCAGGTTACAAGTTCATGTGAATGGGTTCAAGCATATTCAATAATATGGACAAGTCAATGGTCTTCCTATCAAAAGGTTCCAATTAAAATAGAAGTTCCAAGATAGGTTATCCCTAGTGTAAACAGTGAACCTAGAAATATAGGTGTGATGTCTAGTAGATAACCGATATAATCTTGGGAATTGAGAGGTAAATGGTTGATGGTCCAACTAGTTATCTTCCCAAAAGAGCATTCTGGAGCCATTTCCCACTTCTATTGAGGTGAGTGGCCCATACACAGGATATATATGAGAAACGACCTTTTAGGGACTTCAATGAATAGTAGAAGTTTTTGCAAGGGCATTCCAACCATCCCTGTCACTTCCATGAATGTTGCTTATCATCTTGTGCTATAGAGAATTTAGCTAGTAAAGAAAGACTCTTCGATCTAAGATTCCTAATACCTAGACCTTCAAAATATTGTGATTCATAACGCACCTCCCACCTAGATAAGTGGTCTCTACACTCATTTTCACCTCCAGGCCAAAGGAATCTCCTCATTCTCGCCTCAATCCTCTATGATATCTCAACAAGAATCCTAAAAAGTGAGAGATAATAAAGTGGCATGCTAGACGGACACACATTTCATCAAGGTTATCTTTTCCCCTAAAGAGAACGGACCTCCCTTCCAACTCTCAAGATGCGTAGTAATTATTCCTTCTATCCTTTCCCAAAAGGTCTTACTCCTTGGCTTCCCTCCTAAGGGAGCTCCTAAGTGTACAATAGGCCAAGATAGCCTCTCACACCCAATTGACTCCACTAGATAATTAACTAAAGCCTCAACCACATTTATCCCTATAAGATCACTTTTCCCCAAATTAATTTTCAGACCTGAGATGTGTTCAAACACAGTACAACGGTAAAGGTATTATATGTGGTCCAATTATCGTTCTCAATGAATAAGATCATGTGGTCAGCAAATTGTAAATAAGAGACCTTCACATTGTGTCAACCAACACTCAAACCTTTCACAACTCCCCTTTTGGTCGCTCTAATCAACATCCTGCTCAATATATCTACAACCAAAGTGAAAAGAAAAGCCAACAAGGGTTGCCCCGTCTGAGCCCTTTCATGGGTCAAAATCACAAGATTTTCATTCACAATCACTAAAAAAGAACTAGATGAAAGACATCCTTGAAACCATTTTCTCCATCTCAACAAATCCCTTTCTCTCCATCATCAATCTAAAAAGCTCCAGTTGACTCAATCATTTACTTTTTCAAAGTCCAATTTTAGGATAAACTCCTTTCCCCTGGTGGCTCATGTATACTCCACCATCTCATTGGCCACAAGAGAAGCATCAAGAATTTATCTACCACCCACAGGAATGCTCTTTACTACTAGAAATTAAAACGTCCAAAATTTTGGTGGCCTATCCCGTCTGAATGAGGAAAAAGTTGTACTCCGCACCTATCACACAATGTAGAATACCCTTGAGCCTATTTGTGTATCTTCATATCCTGATAGTAGAATATGGACTTTGGAATGTGTACTCTTGCAAGTCTTTCTTTCGCACCTTACCTGTAATTTTTCTTGCCACAATGAGATTTTAGCTAGTGCATTATAGAAGGCAAAGTTCCCTCCAAGGTTAAAATTTTCATCTAGAGGCTACCTTAACCAGACTCAACACCAAGGATAGTTTGCAATTTCCCAGGCCTCATTGCACCTTATTCCCATATGTGTATATTATGTGTTCCAACGTAACTGAATCCCATACTCACTCTTCTTGTACTATGAGATGGCTAGCAAATTTTAATATAAACTTTTCTGTACTTTTGATTGTTGTTGGGTTGTGTTGACACGAATATTTTATTGTCTAAATTACTGTGATATTTTTCTATATGTAGTCCTACCGTTTATTTTCTCCATAATAATGTAATTATTTATAATCTTTATTATAAAAAAAGTTTCTCAATTTGTACTTAGAAAGTCTTATATATATATACGAGTCAGTTGTTGCACCTAATTGTAGAGAAAAATAACGTGTAAATATTTTTTCAAAATTTCTACATAGTATCAGAGCAAAATAAGAGTATTTTGGGGTTTTATTTTCAGGATTTATTTCAACACCCTAGAATCTTCACAACACTCACCCAAATGGAGTACTGATCTCACTGGCAGTCGACTGCCCTATTCCGGTCTCCGCCATACCTAACTGCCTACTTCACTCGCGTGTGGCTGTTCACGCTGTCCTTCGTGCGCAACCTCCTAGTTCGCATCGTTCTTCTCTGGTTCGCGCATCACTTTTTCGCAATTCACTTCGCGCGTCGCACTGCCGTTCTCACAGCCACTGATTTGTGTCGTTCCTTTGCATCGTTCTGTGTTTTGCGCATCAGTTTTTACACACTGAAGAAGCGTCACAAATCGGGTCATATCAGTTCCTCCGTTTGGGTCGCACTAGCTTTTTGCGCACAGCAGTTTTTGGTTTCTTCCATTCGGTTTCCTCAACCGCACGACTTGATTTCTGAGTTCCACGCGGCTGTGTGCCCTCAGCCTTCTCAGTTGTGCGATTGTTGCACCTTCTCTTCTCAGGTTGCAACCAGGTCTGATTCTCTTAGTCTTCTCAGGTTACTAGTTATTTTTTAGACCAGGTCTACTATCTGGGTTATTCTCGCCTCAAATTCGGTTCTAATTTTGGTAATATTCTCCTATCTTAGAAGTTTTTTGGCTTTTTGTGGTGCTGATTAAGAATTGTGCTTTATCCTTGAGATATATATTACTGGGTATTATTGTTGTTTCTAGTATTTAAAAATAATATAAACAAAAAATGTGATTGTTCCCAATTCTGATAACCCATCATTACAAATCAATCTCGTCAACCTTAATGGAACTAATTATTTTGGCTGATCTAGATCCTGTTTATTGTTTATCAAAGTTAAAAGTTTGCAGAATTATATTATTAGTGATGTGAAGAAGCCAGAAATCAATAGTTTGGACTATAACAGATAGGATTCTGAAAACATCTTGGTCATGTATTGGCTCATTAACTCCATACAAATTCATATTGCCCGAACATATCTGTTGCTCAATGCCGCCGCAAAAAATATGGAATGCAATGTCTTTTACATACTCACAAGTGGGTAATGATGTTCAACTGCAATAAGATTCACAATACAAAACAAAGAGAGTTGACTATCTCTCAATATTTTTCTGAACTAAGTGGACTATGGCAGGAGCTCAACTATTATCAGGATTTTCAAGCAGATTGGCCAGGGGATGCCGTCAAAGTTCAAAAAATGATAAAAAAGAAACGAATTTATGATTTCTTGATTGGTCTGAATGCTGAATATGATTAGATACAAATTCAAGTACTTGTAAAGGACCCCCTTCTCTCATTAAAACAAACTTATTCTTACGTTCAGCAAGAATAAAATAGAAGAATTGTCATGCTCCATATAAAACCAGTTGAGAAAGCTGGTTTAATTGCTCAGTCTCATCACTCCAAAGACTAACGGAATTGTGACTATTGTAGGAAGCCAAAACACACTAAGGGGCTGGTAATTGCATGGACGACCCACTAAAGGACGGAGGGGACGGAAAGGTGGGCCTATGAAAGCTCAAGCAAACTTGATTGAGCAAAGTGAAGGACCTGACACATCAACAGTTGGAACATTTTCCATCGAAGAAATTCAAAGCCTAAAGCGCATTCTGTCTCAACTTAACTTTTCAATAACTATTGATGCATCACATATGGTAAAATTATGTATGTCTTCTCTCCCTCTTCTTTCTACTTCTAATATTTACATTATAAATTCTATAGCTAACAAACATATGACAGGCTTTTCCACTAAATTTCTAATATATTTTTTTGTACTAAACGAGAAAATGGTCGTATAGCAGATGGGTCATACACTCGTGTCTGAAACAGATTCCATTAATTGTATCCCGACTATTACACTGTCTTCAGTTTTATATGTGCTTAGTTTTGCTAATATTTTTTTACTATTAGTGTCATTACTAAAGAACTAAACTGTAAAATAAAACTTTTTCGTAATTATTGTATCTTTTAGAATCTTCGAACAGAGAGGATGATTGGCACTGGTAGATTGCAGGATGACTTATATTTCTCGTAAAGAAGTCAGAACCTAATTGGGAATCAAGCCACCATTGAGAATAAAGAAGTCAATATGAAAATACTACAATGGCACTGACGGTTGGGAAACCCTTCCATTTTTGTTTTAGAAAAATTATATTCTAATTTGTTTAAGAGAACTTTCATAAATTCTTTATTTTGTAATGCATGTGAATTTACTAAACATAAAAGAAGTTCTTATCATTTGAGTAATAATAAAAGTTCTATTTTTTTTATTACTATTCACTCTGATGTTTGGGAACCTACTCAGAATATTTTTTTATTTATTCATCGATGGTTTGTTACCTTTATTGACTGTTGTACTTGATTGACATAAATTTACCTGTTGAAAGCATAAAATGATGTGTTTTCATGCTTCCAAGTATTTCATAAAATAATATGCATACAATTTGATGCTAAAGTTAAGATTCTGAAAACTAATAATGGTACAAAATATATGAATAATGGGTTTCATACTTACTTGGAGTTAAATGGAAAAATTCACCAGACAAGTTATGTCTACACCAGTGAACAGAATAGAGTTGTTAAAAGAAAAAACAGACACATTACTAGAGATAATTCGGTCACTAATGCTTACTGTGAAGCTATCTAAAAGTTATTGGAGAGATGAAGTTCTCTCAACTACTACTTTTTTAATAGAATGTCTTTGCAAGTTCTTGATTTTAAAAGTTCTCTTGAGGTTTTGCAATGTACAAATTCCTATATTATTTTTTCAAAAGTGTTTGCATGTGTTTGTTTTATCCATGCTAGAAATGTGAGCAAGCTGTAACCTAGAGCTCTCAGGTGTGTATTTATTAGATGTTCTCTAACTCAAAAGGGTTACAAATGTTATCATTCGCCATTTAGAAAATACTTTGTGACTATAGATGTTACGTTTAGATAATATGAATCATAC